ATGTGATGATCGTCAGTTCTTATCCACACACACCCAATTTTAAAGTCTTTCGCTTTCAACTAGAGTGCAGGTGTGTCAAAATACTTTACATTTTATAATATTACAGGTGCATTGAACCAGTTCTTTACTAAAACAGTGACTTGGTATTTCTGAATATTCTCCACAGGCTTTTAAATGACAATTACTTTCTAAAAATATCCATGAAGTGAGAAAAGGAAGAGGCAAAGATAAATTTTTCTAAAGAAAAACTATGGGTGTAAGGAAAAATATTTTTCCCTCTTGGAATGAAACATGCCATCAAAAGAACCTTAAAAGTTTAGGTATTATTTGTCATTTCAATGAAGTCTGAGTCCTTCAAACAATATGAACACTTTACAGTTTGGGGGGGGGGGGGGGGTGTTTACAAGGGATTCACCTAAAGCACTGTTTTGCCATGTGCCTACATAGCAGAAAGGATTATAAAATGGCTGGCTTATGTTTTTTTCTTATAGTTTTGTAAAAAAAAAAATTTTTTCCAAGGAAAGAACTGTACTCATACAAAATTTACCAAGTCAAGTTTTAAGGAAGCAGTTTTGTTTTTCTTTCTGCTTGCTCATAATCCCACTATAAAAAGACAAGTACTAGGTTGTTTTAGTACCAATTTTAGAATAAACAGTTTAAGAGGTAGGTGTGTGGATTAAAATCAGCCACCTCACTGCCCCATCTTCAAATAATACAAGGGAAATCACACTGTTCCTTAGAAAAGGATATACAGACAGGGAAGACTAGAAACATAGGAGAGAATAAGAATCTTTTAAAGAATAAACAGCATCACATGTTCCTGTGCCATTTTTGTGTAAGGTTGTGTTAATCTTATATATATTGTTTGGCCTGGGTGAAGGAATGGCAAAAGTGAGCATGAAAAACACATTCTGATAAGGGGCATCAGACTGATTTCATTTATATGACTGATGTTTACAGTTACCATTTTAATAAATTCAACATAAAGAGTGGATAGAATTTTATACAAAAATGCTAACAAAACAAAATAAGCACAGTAGAAGTTCAGGTTCCTAAGATTACTCAGGGAATAACAATATCTTTAAAGGAGAATAGCAGATAACATTTAGGTGCTAAACAAAAATCACACAATGAATAGTTAAAAAAACACCAGTATTTTCAAATGATATTTTCAACTAAAATCTGAAAGTATTTTTTTTAAAAAAGAAGAGAAAATGAAAATGGGCAACCACAGTAAAGTAAAAAAACCTACAGTCCAGAAGGTGAAGATCTGAATTCTAAACCTAATTTTCTAATGAGCCAAGAGATGAAAAATTAAGAGACTGAAAAATAGAAGGCTCTACTATGACTATTCAATGATGTCAAATGCAAAATTAACTCCTAATTTCTTTCCACCCTTCTCTAATAAGTTTCCGCTACTCAAATACACGTGACATCTAGAAATAGGCAATCATGAAATAAAAGTGAATTAAAATTATAAATTCATAGTTAACCAAAGAAACAAAATAAAATTTTAAGTAAGTCCCCTGTCCTGGATTAAAAAGAACTGTTAAATTTACATCTTAAATATAACACTAGTTTACCAAGAGAGAATCCCTTATACCATCCTCACTAAGCATTACAGATCATTCTGTGTATGCTGACAACTGCACTGGTTGGGTAATAACAGATCATTACAGAACATTTTTCTTCTAAGGTTTTTGAGTCTCACTGTGATGGTCCCAATAATCAAGAATCTTATACAGAAATAAATTTTAAATGATCTGTGTGTGTGTGTGTGTTTGTGGGGGGGTTACTGGGGATTAAACCCAGGGCCATGTGCATGCAAGGCAAGCACTCTACCAACTGAGCTATATCTGCAGCCCTAAAATGACCCATTTTTGAAAGCAGATTGTTTTAAAAAAGTAGGAAAACACAATAAAGTAACATTTAAATATTAAACTTAAATTTCAATTTCAATTACTCTTAATTAATAAAAGCATTTTCCCCTAATATTCTTTAAAATATCACTATGGGTCTCATCTAAATCAGCAATAAATATTATTAATCTCTTAATTATACCTCACATGGGAAAAACTAGTTTATATTCCCAAGTCCTCAAGAATATACTAAAATAGACACCAAGCAGATTAAAGATATTGTGTCCATATATAACTAAAAAAAATTATTAAAAAAAAGTTGGGGAGGGGAATTTTTTCACTGAATTCCTTCACATATGCATTTTTTTTTTAAATTTTTTATTGTGGGTTGTTCAAAACATTACAAATTTCTTGACATATCATATTCCACACTTTGATTCAAGTGGGTTATGAACTCCCACCTTCACCCCATACACAGATTGCAGAATCACATCAGTTACACATCCATTGATTTACATATTGCCATACTAGTGTCTGTTGTGCTCCGCTGCCTTTCCCATCCTCCCCCCTCCCCCCTCCCCACCTCTCCCCTCCCCTCCCCTCCTCTCTCTCTACCCCCTCCACTGTATAACCCTGAGGGTCTCCTTCCATTACCATGCAATTTCCCTTCTCTCTCCCTTTCCCTCCCACCTCTCATATCTTGGAATTTTATAAATGTATTACCTATTAGATTAACAAATATAATAAGCTTCAAAAACAAGATAAATAAGACTTTACCAAAATTAAATATTTTTACTCTGCAAAAGAAAAAAGATAAGTCATAGATAAAAACAAAACCTACATAGTTCTGATAAAGAACTTTTTATCCAGAAAATGTAAATAACTCTCAAAATTCAGTAATAAAACAAATGAAAAATTGAGAAAAGGACTTGAACAGACATTTCATCAGAGATTATTTATAAACACATAAAAACACACTGAACACAAAATGGATGAAACTCAAAAAATTATGCTAAGTTGCAAAAGACAACATACTTTACAGTTCCATTTATATGAAATATCCAAAAAAGGTAAATTTTAGAAACAGAAAGCAGACCAATGGTAAACACAGCACAGATTAGCTGAAAATAAGTACAAGAGAACATTTGGAGGACATGGAAGTGTTCTAAAACCACTATGTGGCAATGCTTATACAACTCCTGTATTGTATTAAAAAAGTCACTGAAAAAAAAAAGTCACTGAACTGAACCCCAAAATAATAATTTAACTGAAATAGTGAAAAGTCACTCAGTAGTAAAGATGAAATAATATTCTAAGGTATTATTATAACCAACTTAAAGTTAACCACTACATGATTTAATTATAAATAATGTTTTGAGGTGATAATAGTACAGAGAAAGAATTCTAGTATTAGAGATATGAGGCTGTGTATGAGAGACCATCAGAAACACTGGATATATAATCCAGTAAAAATGTAACACAAATGTTAAACAAATGTTATATTAACACTTCTAAATATAACATTAGTGAAAACAAATGTTATATTAACACTTCTAAAAAATATATTCATAATTTTTAAAATGAATGAATTCTCTGCTATCTCAATAATTTTCAGGAGTGATCATGGGTCTATTTCTTTAATCCCTTCTGGTAGGAATTCTGATGGCATTTCAGACACTCCTTCTTTCTCCTTCCCATTGAGCCTTTTTAAGAAGTGCTAAATATATATAGAAATGCCAGTTAGGTAAGCATACTTGACTAAGAAAAAATGTTACACTCACAGAGAGGATGACATATACTGAACTCCACATTTTTTTGTAGGGTCATTTAGGTGGAATATCAACATTCTCCCCAATCCCACTGTTTCTAATTCTACTTCTTACAAAAACCACTTACTTAGATTCTTGAACTGTGTGGACAGTTAAACAACATGTAAATAACGTTGCAATCCCCCAACTTAAAATATATTCATAATAAAAGCAACATTTTCAAGTATTACTTTTATATTTACTAAAATATTATCTCTTTCCAACTAGGATTTAAAGTATCAAGTTACACTTTCTTTGCTATATAAAAAATAAAATTTCATGCAGAATAGGCTACTGAAAATTTCTCTCTTTAAAATAAATGTAATTAGGGCGCGGGTTGTGGCTCAGTGGTAAAGCACATGCATGAGGCACTAGGTTCGATCCCTGGCACCACATAAAAAACAAACAAATAAATAAATGTAATCAATAGCGAATGTAGTAATGATTAGGTGAAGGAAAAAAGGAAAAAAAAAAAAAAACCCAAACCAGAATATCATGTATAAAATGAGCATTCTTAATGTCAAAATCCAAAATGTTTTGAGCAAGAATATTAACAGCACAAGTTGAAAATTTCATACCTGCCCATATGTAACAGTCAGTCAAAATACATGCACACTAAAAATATCATAAAAAACTGCCTTCAGGCTGTTTATAGGAATAATAATGAAACATAAATGAATTTGATGTTTAATCATAGGTTTTATCCTCAAGATATCTCATTATATTTATGCAAATATCTAAAATCAGGGGGGAAAATCCAAACACTTTTGGTCCCAATCATTTCAGATAAGGGATATTAAACTCTATGTGTGTGTGTATTTTTCCCCCCTTTCAAATCTACCAGAACTCTTTTAAAGACTAGTAGCATCAGAGATGTGGTAAGAGGGCAATTTTAAAACAATGTATTTTATTTTGCTAAAGAGAATCAGTGGTTTCACTGCAAGTGTTTCTGTTACAAGCAATATCCCCCTACAAGATACTGAAAATTTCTTCCTGAAATAACTAGTGTTAAGTATGCTTATTTTACTTCATTAAAAAAGGGATTTATCAGAGCATGGAGGAACATGCTTGTAATCCCAGAGGCTTGGGAAGCTGAGAAAGGAGGATCAAAAGTTCAAAGCCAGCCTCAGTAACTTAGGGAGGCCCTAGGAAACTCTATGAGAACCTGTCTCAAAATAAAAAACAAAATGGGCTGGGGATGTGGTTCAGTGGGTAAACCCCTCTGCATTCAATCTCTGGCACCAAAATAAACTAACAAACAAATTAATTAATTAAAATTTAAAGAGAATTTAAAACAGAAAATGAAGTGTTTTAATGTTGCTAATTACATTACCTTCAGGAGCAATTGCAGAAGGACAAACTTCTTTGAGGAGATCGCCCAGTGTATGTGGCTGTCCATCTGCAGCCACAGGACGAAACAGTTTCTGAATGAAAGGGCGTTCAGTCGTTGTCTATTTGAAAAAGGAAAAGATAATCCAAGCAATTAAATTTTTGCTGCTACTCCCTATAAATTAAAAGATCTTAAATTTTATGTTGCTACTAGGTATCTTGTAATATGGTGTAACCAGAAGTACACAAAATCACAGATATGGTATCACTGGGAAACATGTTTAATGATATAAATTTATATAAATCTAATGCTCCAGAAATAATCAGGCAAATTCAGGAAATGGAACATTCTAAAAACAACAGGCCAAAAAAATAAGGCATTAAAAACCAAAACAATATAAAACAAGGACAAAAGTGGTTTGTGTCCTTGACTTTTAAAAAAGGAGTATAATAAGAGATAATGCAAAAATAAAGCCTGGCTGAATACTACACTGGTGAAGAAAATTTCTAAAAAATGCATTATAAAAGAATTTTTTGATAACTGGGGAATCATACCAAATACCAAAATTCTATAGTATAATAATGATAATCACTGTCATAATATATTGCTAATCATTCCAGTTTTATCCATGTTTAAAATGGTTTTGTTTTCCTCAACTATCTCGGTGACAATGAAGGCCTCATCATGACCCAGAGTACCGAGGCTCTGGAATTGGTCAGGGATTATGAAGAACACTGTTGTTTATGAGCTCTATGATCTCCCACCAAGTTCCTTTCACTGTTATTTTGCAACATTCCATATTTCTTGAGTTTGATGTAGGAATAAGTAAGGAATCGTGTCAAGCACAAAATAAATATTTTTTAAAAATCCCTTTCCTCTTTACTGTTACTTACTTTTAAAATGGTAAGTTTAAATTTTAAGTTTCCTGGAGTAAAACAATCATAAAAATACAAAGGTTTGTGTGTGTGTGTGTTTTTTTTTTTGGTTTGGTTTGGTTTAATCAAAGAGATACATCTCAATCTCTCTGACATAACTGTTATAGATTTAGCTTAAAAAAAAAACAACTAGCTTTACGTGCTGACATAAACTAAAAATCTTGATAATATGCAATGATTATACTTCAATTCACTTCATTAACTTAAGTCTATAGGGATTAAAAAATATGATTGATAGTTTTAGTTTAAGAAGTCTATAGTTTTTGATACAAGTTGAAACCAAGAATAATATGTTCAGGCAACTGATTAATTATATAATAAAGATAATAAGGGTTAGGGGAGTTGAGAGGAAAAAGAAATGAATAGAGAAACACAGTAATAATTTAAAATATCTACAGTCCACTTTGAATTTCTATCTTCCAGACCATGAAGATGCTTTAAAGACTTTTTAGCAAAGGAAGTGGCATGATGAAAGAGACTTTTTCTGAAGGCTCATGAAAGCAGTGCTGTGGATGATGATTCGGTTAAGAGGTAAAATCAGAATGACTGGTGAGAGGCCAGCTGATAAAGCAAGTCCATGTGATGACAACCAGGACTGAGACAATGGGAAAGACAGTGGCAGAAATGCATGCCAATTTAAAGAAAAAAAAAAAAAACAAAACTCAGATGCATCTCTTTTAGTCCAACCTGAAAGAAAAACAAAGCCAAAGAAATCTCTTCAAAAAGTTGAAAATCTCATACAAATCCTAATTAGTTACAGAATAGTGAGATGGCTTGGCTATGATAAAATTGCCTGAAAACAATATACTTGACAGGAAAGGTTAAGTAATCTTAGTTACATATTAAAAAACAGACACTGCCCTCTAACCCTGCTGTTTCTCTGTATCTTTCCTTTTCCCACTCTCTCCTAAACCTGAGCAGTTATTATAAAGGTGTAACCTTCAACAAATTTTTAAAACGAAGTATTTTGTTTGGTAGAGGAAAAGCTCTGTAGACGGTAACCAAAAATACTTTCGGCAAAATGCTGCTTGCATTTATTACAGAATAAATGTAAGGAAAAGCCTATTCCAAATATAGTCAAGTAGGTTAACCAACATTAATGTGGGTAACAACGTATGTTTATTTATTCTAATAAGCTGGAAATTAGAAAATGCATTGACAATAAGAGGCACAACCATATTACAAACTTATAAATCATATAGATCAAGTTCAAGTCTTATATGAAACATAAGGCATAAACTCCAATAAAAATGCAAGGCTCTTTCTTCTTAAGAGAATAAAAACTTAAAACCAGAAAGAACTGGCTTCAAGTCCTGTTTCTATCATTTGTTACGAAAACATGAGCACAATTACTTAATTTTTCTAAATCTCCATTTCCTTAACTGAAAAAATATAAATAATCACACACATATGAAAACAAATAAGATGTGAACTGAAGGAGATGACGCCTACATTGTAGTTTTTTAAATAATAAAATGCACAACATGATCATGGCACATAGTAATTTGGAACTTAAAACACCAATGACCAGCTAGGCGCGGTGGTGCATGCCTGTACTCCCAGCAGCTCCAGAGAATGAGACAGAAGGATGGTGAGTTCACAGCCATCCTCAGCAAATTTGAGGTGCTAGGCAACTCAATGAGACCTTGTCTCTAAATAAAATACAAAATAGGGCTGGGGATGTGGCTCAGTGGTCCAGTGCCCCTGTTCAATCCCCAGTACCACCACCACAAAAAAAAAACATACCACCAACCAACCAATGACCAGGACCACAAGTTTAGAATGCTGCAGTGCACATTTGATTTACTATTATCCAAACTTAGTATATTTAGTTTTTATTTCCTTTTACCTTCAATTTCTTTTCTTAAAATTCATTTATATGGATACCAAAAACCCCAGAGTGATAAAATTCAGAAGCTTATATTTTAATATTTATTTATATGCAAGAGGGCAAAGGTAAAGTCATTTTGGGACTTTGATTCAAAGCTAGTCTTGAACTTAACCCCAAAGTCATGACCCATGAAAGAAAATACCAATAAGCTAGACTTCATTTAAAAAAATAAACAAACTTTTCCTCTATAAAAAGGCCTAAAGAAGATTAAAAGACAAGCTACAGCCAGTCATAGTGTACATGCTATAATCCTAGTTACTAGGGAGGCTGAGGATGGAAGATGGCTAGTTTGAAGGCAGCCTGGGCAACTAAGCAAGACCCTGACAAAAATTTAAAAAAATAATTTATAAAATATTTAAAAAGGTCAAGCCTCAGACTGACAGGAGAAAATCTACAAATCACATTTCCAACACAGGTCTTAAACCCACAGTATACAAAACATGCTAAAAATTCAATAGTTAAAACAACAACAATCTAATTAGAGCATGGGCAAAAGACACAAGCAGAAATTTTACTAGAGGATATAGAGATAGTAAATAAGCACATGAAAATATGTTTAACACATGAGTGTCTGCTAAGAAAATGCAAATAAAACCACAATGTATCTGATATTACCACACACCTACAAGAGTTATCTAAAACAAAAATTAGTGGATGTTAACAGTATATACCTCAAAGGTTCTTGGTAAAGAGTAAGGCAAGGCATTATTTAAACAATGTCTAGCATATACTAAATGTTCAATATACAGTTACTGTTTTTATTAAACATGACTTAACATTCAATGGAAGCTTATTCAATATTAATATGGACTATGTACTAACTTATAAAACAAAAGGATGATTACAAAACATATTCATCATGTAGTTAACTCTTAATATGTTACCATTAGTGCTAATTGTTGTTTTGCTCATATATATCTTATCATGATATAGTATGAATTAGAAATGTTGGTTTATTCAAAATGACAATTTGCAAAAAAAGAGAGAATTTACAGCAAGAAAGGTACATAAAAGGCTCACTGACTAAGGAGTTAGAGACCATACAGAGAAGAAAGAATTCTAATACTATTAGAGAGCAACGGGAGACTGAATTCACTGAAACAGTGAAAACTGGTTATAAGAGAGAAAAAAAACTTTAAAAAATCAGATAATGACAAATTTTATATTCTGCTTTAAAGTTCTTTGAAACAGGCTGATTGATTTACTAAATGTATAAGTAAAATTTATTTGATAATTTAGAAGGGTTGCTTAAATATATCAGAGGATTTTATTTGTAAGATTTGCAGGTATATTTTAAAAAAAGTCAGCTATTAAACTATAACTGGAATCAGCCAGTGTCTCAGAATGTAATTAGATTGATATGCAACTAGTACGCTGTGGTAAGAATTAAATCTAGAAAAGGAATGAGTTACAAAAATGGCTATATTATATATTATCAGTAGCATAAAATCAATGGAAAGGCATTAGAAAAACTAGGCTTTATAATTGAAAATCCCATCAAAACTGGACTCACATCCAGTGAGTATATTTTCACTTGACACCATTATTTAAAATAATGTACCTAAGTAATAATAAGGCAAATTTACTATTAATGTTTTGCGGATCTTTAGCCAAGAAAAAAAAAGAAAGAAAGAAAGAAAAGAAAAATGAAAACAACAAAAACTCTAATATAATAGGTAACTTCAGTGAATCACACACAGTTGCTAACATTCCATTAAGAGTCTTTACAGATACTGCAATATAAACAAAACTTCAATAAAGAATGTATTTGTAGGGCTGGGGTTCTACCTCAAGTAATAGAACACTTGCCTAGCATGCATGAAGTACAGGGTTTGAGTGCAAGCACCACCCCCTACACATGAATATTGTTTCCTAATTTTGTTTAAAAATACAGTGGTAACGGATAACAGAAATACAGCAAGTGCTGAGAGAATGTTGTAAAGCTAGAGTACAAAATTTAACTCTGAAGGCTGGGAGTACAGCTCAGAGACCCTGGGTTCCATCTCCAGCACCCCCCAAAATAAAACAAACAACTCTGGACTTCTCAGGCAATAAAAGCAAATCAAGAAACAAATTATAACCAGTTATATAACTTTGTTTTCTAAGAATGCAAGACATACCAGTAGGTATAAAGTAAAATACACTAACTGTAGTAGAATGTAAAAATAACAGTGAGGAATTTCTAAAAAGAGGATGAGAAGAAAGGAGGCAATATAGAGCAATCTTCAAGCTACAACTTGAAACTGATTTTTTTTTTTTTTAATGGAGAAAGACTTACACCATTTCAGTACTCAG